ATGGTGAAATGGTGTTTCAGATTGATGGAGAGTGTGTTGTAGATGGTTCTGTATAGAACCTTTTTGAAAATGGTTCTGTATAGCACCAAAAAACGTTCTTCTATTCTTACAGTCTTGACAATCTTGACAAAATCTCCAACAATCTGCAATCTGAAGAACCCTTTTATGATGCAAAGAACCCTTTAATCTAAAGAGGGTTCTTTGAGTGTTCATGGTTCTATATGGAACCATTTTCTTTACTAAAGAACGCTTGAAGAAACCATCATTTTTAGTGCAAGACTGGCAAAATTATATATTAGAAGTACTTTTAGATACAGTACATACAGGTTTGGTCACATATCTGTGACGTCAAAAGTTAAGCTGTTAGCGCTCAACAAGACCCTCCATACAGCTGGAGCTCTCACAGTTCCTTTATTCGTATACAGGTTTGTCTATTTGGTCCCTCGGCCCACTAAAAACTATGCTTTGGCCCACCAGGACAAAAAGTTTGGGCACCCCTGGACTAAAGACTAAATGGTGTTAATGGTGAAGAACCGTTGTCGTGCAGTCCAAGTCTAGTTTAAGATTAGCTTTAAAACAAGTCGTCCCTTAGGCTTCTTGCAGAATGGCAGAACAAACAGCTTCACACTGTGGTCCAGTTTAAATCACTCTGCACGAAGTTCAGAATGTACAGCCTGTTGTTTGGTGTGTCCACTGTCTTTTCTACAGCCTATACAAGCTTCCACCTCTCCTGTGATGCCTCTCCCTCTTTCTCCGCTGCAGAACTTCTCCACTGGCTTCTTTCCCTTCCTCTCTTCTTCTTCAGAAGGCAGTTGCTGTCCTTCCTTCGCTCTTTCCCGGCTGAGATCTCTACCTTTTCTGTCCACTCTAAGCACACTTGCTTTTATCGTCTCGTAGACCCCCTCTGTTTCACTCCTCAGCAGTAAGTGTGTTACTTTCCCACGCTTTTATATCCACCCTTTTCTATGAGCTTTCTGGTATATTCATCCTTTTATAAGGAAATGAGTCTGAATTCCGTGTTAGGATTAAAGAGCTTGTTTGAGCTTCTGGTCTTACTGTAAAGTACATGTGTACAGTAAAGTGTACACTGCAGATGTGTTGGTAAAATCAGAGGTGTAAACATGCATCGATGGCTCATGAAGGACTGAACTAAAGGTGGTGATTCAAATATATTTTGATTACTGATTATAATCAGCTATAAAAATATTCAATAATGTATGTGCTTATTTTTTGGTCGAGGTAAAATTTTCAGGCTGTTTTCAAATGTAAAAATTAAATAGCATTTATAGTTCCTCCTCTAACATTTGTGTATTCAGTGAAATTGTTTTTAATAATTCTGAACTGAGGCAAAGTAATTTAATGGAATCATGTTTGAAATCTGAGATTTCATAATGCATTCAGTCAGTACTGTACTGCATCAGAAATATTGCATCAGTCTCGGCCACTATTCAAGGTTTCAATGTCTGTATTGTGCAGCCTCTATTTATCTCAACAGGAACTGGGTGAGAACATTAGAATATATAAATACATGTACATATAAATATAATATATAAATACATAACAAAATGTGTTAGAAATAGAAGAATATAGTTAGCAGAACAGGTTTGGTGTCTGACTTCTCGCTGAACTCCAGGCATTGCATGGATTTGTTCAATTCCACCAGCAGCACCTGATTTAATTTATTGAAGGAGCGAGTGGATAAACTAGGTATTGGATGGTATTAGATTGGTGGAGAGCCCTGGAAATTGTTAAATCTGCCCTATTTTTTATTTTAAAATATGGAGACCTCTGGTGGTGGAAGGAGGAAGAACATTTTTAACCCTTGTGTGGTGTTTGGGTCTGTGGGCCCCGTTTTCAGTGTTTACCAAAATGAAAAAGTGATGCGATTTATGATTATTTCAACCTCAGATTCCTTGGCTTTGCTCATTTTCTGTGAAGAACATATAAAATAACACATTTTCAATAACACATGTTCAGCCCTCTATATGGTTTTGTGGTGAATCCGCAGGGAATAAAAGTGTGGAGATGCTGTGTTCCTTCACTCTGTTCTCCTCCTACATGGCCTGCTGGTTGTGTGTGTGTGTGTGTGTGCGTGTGTGTGTGTGTGTGTGTGTGTGTGTGCGTGCGTATGTGTTTGTATATGTGTGCGTGTGTGAGGGTGGACAACATGGACAGGCTGCTGACTGGCTACAGCTGCTAAAGGAGAACCCTAAACTGGCCACTTGTGATATTTTACACATCTGGTATTTTTACATAAATTCTTATGGCTGTAGTGATTTAAAAAAAAAAAACACCAACACCACACAAGGGTTAACATGGGTTGTGTTTCGGACCCCTCTTACGAGTGGATAAATCTTATAATTCAGAGTGTGACAGAGAATTCAAGCTCAGTCAAAAAAAGGATGTGAGTGAATGATCTACTATTATCATCATCACATCTTCATCAGTATAATGTTAATTCTGCAGACCTAAACATCGAGCTGGACCTGCTTTTTTGAGCCTGTGCATGTGACGTTTTTCTGTAAAGATGTATGATGTGGTGCGAAAAACACCCACAAAACTCTAAAAAATTATTTCAGGCTTTACATGGTGAGACACATCAGCACACGTACCAAATTTTAGTGCGATTTCTTTACATTTCAACAAAAAAAAATCCTTTAATAGACTTTATTTAAACAAAGGCTTTACCTCCCAGAGAAATAGCTTTATATATCATCCAGACTTTTGCACAGAACTGCATATATGAAAAATACGATTACCGACAGCTGACAGCGAAGTGACTGCAGCTCCCCCCAAACCCAAAACTGTTCATTCCTTTGCTTCCAGGTATCCAAAGATGTCCGTAGTGATATCGAAAGCAGCTCAGAGGAAGAGACTGAAACGAACCAAACTCACGCAGCTTTACCCAAACGAGAGAACGGCACCAACGGCCATTTCGGCTCCAAGCCCTGGACCCAGAACGACGACAGCTGGTGACCCGGCATGACCTCCCTGCCACTCTCAGAGCTGCTGTCACCACAGCATCTTAAATGGACTTTCGTTCAACTGTTCCCAACCAAACCATGAATATCATGGGACGCCTGAGACTGTGTGCACATTCCCCATTTTTACTACACACTTTGAGTTGACATTATTAAGCCTTATTACGGTGAAGATTATGATGATGGTCCCGACGGCTTTATGGACACAGATGCTTCATGTGTGGAAAACAAAAAACAAACAAAATATAAACAAAAAAAAGACACAGAGGACGAATGTGAGATTAAACGAGTGATTTTTGCATTCCTTTGTTTCAGAGGCGAAAGTGTGTTCACTGTCTTCCTAAAGCTTCACGTTTTACTGGAGTCAGGGAAGAAGTCCCACTTTTAATTTTATTCCCAGTGTCTGATGTACTTGAGCGTTTTTTATGTATTTCACCATCCAGTTACTGTTGTGTGTTTTGGTTTTCTTTGCCTGTTCTGTTTTTCAAGTTGCTTCATTTTCTTATTTGAGACCAAATAAGTTTATTAAAATATGATTTGATTGATGCTTCATAGTGTGAGGGATGATTTGGTACCAACATTGGTCGGCTTTTGTTAAGTGATTGGTTCAGTTATGTACGACTTTTCACATAATTTAAAGGAACAGTTTAGCAAAAAAAACCTAATTATGTGGTTTTCTGTTTACTTTAAATGTAGTCAATTAGGCAAGACCTGTTTGTCTGAAGTTTGCTTCTTCAGTTTTCAGTTATGAGAGTAATGTTTAACATACTGTTATTTTTAAAATGTAGTATTCCAGATGATTATTAGTAACGTTTTTAGCTATGCTTACTTTTTTAATACCACAGTCATAAACCACATAAATCTTTTTGAGATTACTCAACAACTCTAAGTGATTGTAGGCCTGCGTTGAATATTTTAGGTATTCAGTTTACACTATGCTAAGTGGTACACAATGCTTCCATTATTTGTTAGCTACATTAGTCTTGTAGCTCCAGTGCAAAATTAAGTAGCATCTAAACATGTCTTGTGTGATCAGCTACATTTCTTATTGGCTTGTTATTGCAAATAATTCCAGGCGCTGAAATGACAGCATGCATTCCTCCTGGCCAGCAGATGCCAAGGGCAGTTTGTTTTGTATAGTGTTGACTTCTGCTTACAGGCTGAGAAACCTGTGAACTACATATTTCCAAAAGTTTGTAAACAACTATATGTTTCTTCTGAAATGAAGGGTATTAATAATGAGTTTGTCCCCCTTTGCTGCAGTAACAGCCTCTGCTCTTCTGTCACTAGATGTCGGAACGTTGCTGTGATGATTTGATTGAGCATTAGTGAGGTCGGGTACTGATGTTGGATGGTCAGTTCTGGACACTCCAACTCATCACAGATGTATCTGATGGAGCTCCATCACTGCAGAGAACACAGTTCTACTGCTCCACAGCCCAGTGCTGGGGGCTCATACCCCTTTAGCAGAAGCTTGACACTGGGCATGTGCAGCTGCTTCAGAGCGTCCCATTCTTTTGGTCAGTGCTTTTCTGTGGAGATTATACATGCAGTTTGTGCCTTAAAGGGGAATTCCACCCAATTTTTTTTAATTTCAGCAAAGGGGAGTCTTTGAGATGTGAACAGTCATTCAGAGTTGTTTGATGTGTATCATAAAACTGCGTCAATGCAGACAGTGTATTTGTATCCACTTCATGAAAGAGCTTTTTCAGTGAGGTAGCGTTTATAAGCATCAAAGGTTTTAGATGTCTGGTTCCCATCATCACCACTGCGGTAAGTTTCTCTAGAACAGAGCATTTCTAATCAAACCACTCTGGTCACTTTGTTTACATCTTAAGGACTGAATTATGCTGAAATTTTGAAAAATCTGTGAAATTCCCTTTTGTAGCATCTGAATCCACTAATTAAATGAGATGTCTGGATATAGTTGACATATAGAGTGCACTTCATACATTACAAAATCCACTCCCAATGCAGAAATACTCATAGAAGTGCAAACAGAAGAAACTCACTGAGGAAAACAGTTTTAACTGCACACCATTTAATATATGACATCCATACATAAACCACAGGCTGTGAGACAAACACCGTTTTTACATTCTTCCCTGCATAAAAAGGTTATAGTTGTTATCCACAGAGGTGGAGCTGAGCTTCACGCATTTCTTGGGGTGAAATCTCCTCTGGTCGACTTCTGTTCCACCCATGTGACACGATAATTTAATGTCTGTTTTGAAGATTATACTGATGACCAGACGGCTCAGTCCTTGACCACCTCTGGGTCTATTGCTTGGTTCTGGGCTTCCAGCTGGAGCTGTTTCTGCCGCTGCACGTAGCGATAGAACCTCATGCTGCACAGGTAGCCTCCATACACGGTGAGGAGCATCATGGAGCCGGAGAACAGGCGGTAGCCCACATCAGCCATGCGCTTCGTAGTCAGCATGGTGCTTCACTAAAGGGAGACAAAGAGTCTAATGTAAATACAATCATTTATAGCTGAACAGCTAGAGCAACTGTTCTCCAGATTCATGTTTTTTCAGCTTTAGGAGTTGCTAACTAACCCAACCCTGCAATTCCAATTTCAGGTCAAGAGAGACATTTCCCAGAGCCAAATTCTCAATTGCTATTCAATCCCTGTCTATGAAACGCATGAAAGAGTCATCAGTGAATGGGAGTAAATGGAACTGAACAGCTAAAAATGTTCAAGGGGAAATTCCTCAGATTTCTCAAAATGTCTGCATTGTTAAGTCATTTAGATAAACAGAGTCATTCAGAGTGGATTGGTGTAAAATGTTCTGTTCTAGAGAAACATACAGAGTCAGGATTGTTCACAGTGGTGGTCATAGGAACCGTCGTCTAGATAGTTTAACACCTCTAAAATCTCCCTCACACAACGTTATACACTAAATGGTTGTGAATACACTGCCTGACACCTGAAACATCGATTTATTTTGTTTTAAGAAGGCTTTGGCCGACGTAGAGGGTGTTGGAAGGCACAATAGTTTCCAACAAAAACTATTGTTTCCAGATTTATCATCACGTGTAGGTTTACTGGTGGTTTTGGATAGTAAATAGATATGGATAAATATATAAATGTATATGTGTTCATCAGAGAAATCAGAGTCTGTAAGTTTCTCTACAATGAACCATTTCACATCAAACCCTTCTGAATGACTTTGTTTACTTCTCAATGATTGAATAATGCAGAAATTCTGAACAATTGATTGAATTCTCCTTTAATATCTCTATTCATTAATACTGGAACGTCCTTTCATTTTGAAAAGTTAGAAGGATGTATTACATTCAAAGTTCTATGAAAACTTCTCAGCAATTTTTTCTGTTTTTCTTCAAAGTCGTGGGAAACTCTGAATTATGGATGATGCACGAGTTTATCGACCGTTCACCTTTTCTATCTGTGAAAAATAATAAAATTGGCAATGACTGTGAAAAAAAAATACCTCATACACTTCTGTTTGACCCATCTGTTTATTATATTGCAAAAAAAGAAGTATCCTATAGACCTCCATGCTCAAACCAAGTAAAGCTGTATTTACTAGTTAACCATCTGGTATGCACAGCCTCTTCAATCACCTGAAAAGCAGCATTACTCACAGAACATCATTCAGATGCTGTTACTGATGCTGTTAATTCCTACAACTGCAGCTGAAAAGTGGTAAAAACTCTGACAGCAGTATTGAAACATTTTACGCTGTTCAGAACATGAAGGAAAAAAGATTAACCGTTTACAAAATACAACGGTGAACAAAGACAAGTACACCTTTGCACAAAGCTCTGACTCTCTCAAAAGCACCTTCCAGTGTCTGATCAACCCGGAAGAGATAAATAAGTGAGACAATTCCCAACCAGAAATAAGATTTATGTCTGAAATTCGTAACCATGTCCAACTTTCTGTGAGGAAGCTTACACGTCTGGTTCCTATCACCACCACTATGAACAATTGTGACTCTGTAAGTTTCTCTAGAACTGAGCATTTCACACCAAACCACTCTGAATGACTCTGTTTACATCTTAACCATTTAATTATGCAGAAAATTTGAAAAATCAGTGGAACTCCACTTAAGTACTGAAGGTCAAGCGTAGGGTGAATCTCCAACATATTAAAGGTGATAAAAACAGACATTTGGGCTTCTGCTGTGATGTTTGGATTGCTGCTTTGTAGTAAAGCCATTTAAGGCATTTCCATGAGTGTTTTCATGTAGTAATGCTTAAATACTACTGCATTTAAAAAGCCATTCAGCAATTTTCTACAGGATTCCTATAGGATCTTATAGAATATTCAGAAAACTATTACAGTTCAGCACAGTTTACTGCAACATACTACACAAGTGATAAGACAGTATTAGGCCAACAAGTAATTATACAGAGACGAGTGAAGATACAGAGAAGTGTTAAGTGTTATAGATTGTTACAGATGTACTACAAAGCACAACAAACTATAAACTATAACGATTCTATTATGACTTATAATACTTCTATAATAATCTGTGACACTTTTTGTCTGTACAATTTACCTATATAATGCTTTTAAGGGGTTTTCCAGCCCACCAAGTCAACTTTGATGGGATCAATGCTAAGGATGATCCCGTCCTCCGGTACAGGAACATATTTATACCATAAAACAATGACTACAATTTAGACAATCCGGTCTCTTGTTCAGTAGCAGTAACATAACACGTAGCAATATCTAGCTGGCTGTTTATCGCACTCATTTTTTTTTTATAAAAATAGTATAAAACTACAGTGTTGTTAAGATAACACACAAAATTCATACATATAAAGCCTTATATCTGTTTAAGAGAAAACGGAAAAGAAAAAGTCAGGGGCCTGAACACATGCATTTACAATGATATATTAAGCAAAGTGCATATATTCATTGTTTTGACAGCTTTTTCTGGTTTTCAAGAGCGTAAAGAATTTACGTACTGTTCAGCTTGAATTTCTACTTCACATTTGAGAAAGTCAGGTCTGGATTTAATACATTTAAATTTGCGAATATGACATTTTGCCAAAAAGATACTCAAATGAATAATGTAATATTCTTTTTGTTCCGTCTATGATGACTGAAGCCAAACAATACATTCATTAGCAAAGATTCAAGGTCAACAGAATCCATGATAAATCTACCTACATCTTTCCAGAGCTGTGTTTGTGCGAGCACAGCGCCAAAACAGGTGGAGAAGAGTTCCTGGGTAACTTACACCTGACAGAATCAACAGCTGACCCAGATAACTAACTATCTAACTATCCTTTCTAAACGTAACAGGAATCTGCTCCACTGGATAACATCTACGTCAAACACTACAACACTTTTTCCTTTTTTATGTTTACGTTATTCATGTATTCATAACTGCTATATAAAGACATTAACGTACGACTTTCCTCACCTTCGTTGCGACCAGGTTTTGGCCCTATAGCGTTAATAAACGAAGGCACCGCTGTTATTAATGCTTTATACGGTGTCTGATGAGCGCAGACAGCACAGCGCGTCCCTTCAGCTTAACGAGCCAACTTGTCAGCTTTGCTCTCTGCCTAACGCGCCTATACTTTATGTGAGTCAGAATGCCGTATTGTAAAGTATTTTAAAGAGTTTAATAAAGAGTTTTGTGAATCCTCACCTGTTTATTTCTGCACTTTCTCCGAAACGCTGCGCTCCGCCGAGTTCAATGTCAACACGCTTCCGCCTACAGATGTGACGCTACGGACAGGCGGACGGGACAAACTTCAAAGAACGCGTTTTGCATTTATCATTAAATATGAACGAATTCGACTCGCGGTAAACAGCTGAATTAAACGAGTATCCACTGTAATGTCTGTAATGACCTCTTCTTTTCCGCCGAACCAAAGTTCTCAGTTTTCACAGTTTAAGCAGATCCGAGTTTCAGGACTCATCCCGCGGTTGGAGACTCCGGACCGGTTTTGAAGACGGACAGACGGAACATGGCGCTGCCCGCTGATCGCGCTGGAGAGGAGAGTTCAGCGGAGACTGAGGATCCCGGAGCTGCTCCGCACGGCAATTTCATCAACTACTACACTTTCAATCCCCCGGAGAATCGCCTCAGTCTGATACCGGCCTCTCTGCTGGGAGAGCTCGGGGGCCGCCGTGAGAGTGAAACGGTTCTGATGCTCGACGTGGGCTGCAACTCAGGGGTGAGAAATCACAACAGACAAACTAACTGACTACCTAACTAACTAACTGACTACCTAACTAATTAACTGACTACCTAACTAACTGACTACCTAACTACCTAACTAACTAACTAATGACTACCTAACTAACTGACTGACTACCTAACCACCTAACAAACTGACTACCTAACTAACTAACTAACTAACAACATAGGTTAACTAGGTTAACAAACGAACTAACTAACTAACCAACTAACTAACTAAATAGCTAGCGGTAATAATAATACTGATAATAGCAGCTATTATTCTTGTTGGTGTCGTCATTATTGTGTTTTATTAAATATGATCAGTTTATTATTATTATTATTATTATTATTATTATTACTATTATCATATACCATAACATCACAGGTTTTTCACAAACACTATATCACTCTGCTGAGACGCCGTTGCTAAGCAACGAGTTTGACAGCTGTAGGAGACGCTCAAGCCATTTGAACGTTTTTACTTCTTACTTTGCCACAAACAGAAAATGGACACTTCTAAGATTACATTTGACCGAAAGCCCATTTGGTCAGACTCTGAAGATCAGACTACACTAAATTCCCAAACTGTCATCACCACTGAGCAGCTTTTCAGTCGGCAGCTGTGACAGAAGAAGAGCTAAACAACCTGGAATCAGCCAGAAATGAACCCAATGCCATTCGCCAAACATCTGATCTTCAGAGTCTGACCAAATCGTAGCTCGTTACTCTGACGTAGCAACGAGCTGCTTGTTGAGGAAGGAATTGCTAACATTAAAACATATTAAATGACACGTTCACTGCTCAATTTATTAATTTCTTACTTTATTTATTGAACTGTTGTATAAAAGCAATAGAACACTCGTATAACATTACGTGATCACAACGACCAAATCACAGCTGTGATGTTATTTTGCGATAACACACTCCCTCTCGTGTTGTATTGCTTAAATAACAAATGTTTTTTGTGTCAATAAAATACATTTTCGAGGCATCCACTTATAGTAGCTCATTGAGTGAAATTAAAGGGGCATGAAGGCCAGAAGTTAGAGTTTGATCTGCTATTTGTTGTGTTATAAACAGTATTCTGTAGCACTGCATTATACCCGTCAGCCTCACTGAGACTGAACTTCATATCATTTTTATCATTTTCATTATTCATGTTCTGTTTACACAAATATGTTGTGAAACCAAACCGCCGGAAATCCCTCTGGGGTCAACCCATCCTGCCTGTTAGCCTAGCCACAGATCTGTAGGCTAATAAACACAAACTAGCATTTGGACTTCTACCTCAGTTAAACACAATCATAAAGAAAACAGCGATTGTATCTTTATTCAGCACAAAAACTAATGCCTTTAGCCAGGGAAAAGAAGCGCGACTGAGGGTATCTATAGATAGCCAGGTACCATGCTAACATTAGCTTTAAGCTAGTTGTGCTCCTCATCTAATGGTTATTTCTTGTGGTTGTCCATTGTAATGAAGGTTTGACCTACAGTTATATGGCTACAATAAGTGATTTCGGTTTCCTAGCAAGTTTCGGTCAGCTAACAAAAAAAAATAAAAAAATTAAAAAAAAACAGCCTGACCCAAAAGTTTACGCAGAAGCATTTGTAGTTTATCGACGTTCTTTCCACATTCAAGGTGCATCACCAAAACTGAGTTTTCATAGTCTTTTAACTGGAAAATCTAAATGTAGAGACTACAGCAGTATCACTGTAGAAGGAGAAGTTCAATGAGTTTGAGGTTAAAGGTACCAGCTAGAAGTCCTGACATTGATGTTAGAGCACCATCCAGACCAGTGGAAGATTAGTATAGGGTCAGGACATGTAAATCTGTTTCACATAAAGTCCTGAATTTCCAAATTCCAAAAAATTGCTCATATGGGAAACCTTTGCTCTGCCCAACTTGAGAATACGAAGTGCTGTTCATTAAAGAAAAGCACGTCCAAGCTTCTCAATTGCATCAGGTAGGCCTAAATCAGGGATGTTAAACTGGGTTCCTTGCGAGCCACAGCTTTGTAGAGATTAGCGTTTTACATCTTACAAGGTTTTGTAACTAGTAGCTGATGAGTTGAATCAGGTGTGGTTAATGAGGAATGCTAAAATCTGCAGCGCACCCGAAACATGACCTAAATGTTCATAAGAAAATAGATTATACTATAAATCTGTACAAAGTGTCTTTACAGCTGTGGCTGTTTATACACAGAGTTGGCAGTAAGTAAACCAATATGAACTTCCATTCCAACCCACTTCACGTTGCTCTATTCTTGTTGTTGTTCAACAGGACTTATCCATTGCACTGTATAAGCATCTTCTTCAAGAGCAGCCGCTTGAAAGTGACTCTCCAAGGAGCGTCCACCTTCTCGGATTTGACCTCGACCGAGACTTAATCTTACGGGCCCAAAACTGTAACCCGTTTCCCCAAAACATTCAGTTCATCCCCCTTGACATCACCCAGGAGTCGAGCCACACTGAACTCACTTCTTACGTGGAGAAGTTTGGATGCAGTCGCTTTCATTTATGTACTTGTTTTGCAGTGACGATGTGGGTCCACCTGAACCACGGCGATGCTGCGTTTTTAGCCCTCCTTTCGCGACTAGCCTCTCTGTGTGAGTATCTGTTGCTGGAGGTGCAGCCGTGGAAGTGCTACCGCTCAGCCGCCCGTCGATTGCGTAAACTTGGCCGCAGCGACTTTGACCATTTCAAGACGCTGGCGATCCGTGGAGACATGGCAGCGCACGCTAAAGGACATTTAGAAAAGCAGTGTAGCATGGAGCTAACTCAGAGTTTCGGGAATACATCGTGGGACCGAAGTCTTCTGCTTTTCAAGCGACGATGACGAAGCATTCAGAAGGGAAAACACACCAAAACAGACCATTAATGGAAGTTAAAGTGATAATTTGATGGAAAAATCACATTTACAACTTTCCCCAAGCTTCAACTTGACATATGTTCCTAGCTTCTTTGCAGTGGAGCTACAAGGCTAATATGGCTAACAAGTAAAATTTTATGCTTGGACAAGTGTACAGAGAAAATTCTGATAGACAAAAACAATTGGATGAAAGTAACAGACAGACTTTAAAGGGTAATTCCACCAATTTTATAGAGTGGTTTAATGTAAAATGGCTCATTGTGAGGAAAGTTTCTGACTCAGATTTCTTTACAGGGGAGGTCATAGGGGACCAGGGGTCACAGTGTCTATGACACAAATATTTCATTTTATTTCATTTATTATCCATATGATGGTAAAATAGCGGAAAAAATTTTTCTTTGGGGACTATTTTGCTTTACAATGCCCTGCATGTACCCGTCTGGCATTAATGAATTAAAATGGATTAACAAGACAATTTAGGCCAAAACTTCATCACAAAATTATTAGACAACAGTGTCTCAGGCATCAGGCAGCTTGATCTTATCCGTTATGTGTAATAATGTAGGGGAGCTTTTAGGGACCTTAAATTCCTCAGACGTTTGGTTCCTATCACCACCACTGTGAACAATTCTGAACCAGTAAGTCTCTGTAGAACCAAATATTTATTTTTAAGACAGTAGGTTGTCATACCGTGTCAGAAACCACATGAACAAATCCTTTGAGATTACTTAACAACTCAGCACAGTCAAATGTGTGATTGTTTACATGTGACATTAGCACAATGCTAATTGGTGTGCTTGTTAGCTGCATTAGCCTCATAGCTCCAGTGCAGACGCCAAACTTTAAAAAATCAGATGTGTCTTGGCTTATTGATTACGTTTGGGATTTGGGGAGAATTGTGTAAAACCTATTTTAACTATAATTTTATTTATTTTTGTCACAGAAACTGTCGCACGAAAACACAATGTTTGGAGTGTTAGTGACAGAGCTGCAGTAGCTGAGCTGGACATTGATCACATTCTGGACTGTTTCACAAGCAGTCAAGATTGAGATTTGCTAAGCAAAAATAAATAAAGAAATAAAATATTAATAAGGGAGGCCCTAATGATATCTCATAAGACTGATGACTGTTTGAGAAATCAGGATGAGGTAAAGGATCATTAGTTTTGCTGTTATTTGCAGGCGTGTGAGTGTTTTCAGTAACTGAACACAAGGTGGCAGTGTTTCTTCTGTTTCAGTGACTGAAAACATGTTTTTTAACTAAAAGACTGCGCCTGTGTCTAAAAAGGTGCCTTGTTCATCACATAGTGCTGTGATACAGTATAGCATAGTAATCTCCAGGGTTATGCCATTTTGTGGTGGTGTCTAAAAACATAGTGCAGAAGATCCAGTGCACTCAAACAATCCCACAATGCACAACAAGACGTAGTATACAACCCATACACCCAAGGGGATAGTGGATACCCATAATGCACTGCGTTGTTTGTAAATAATGAGCAAATCTGTATAGCTGTCCGAAATCATTTACTACCATCACAAATTCTGTTGTCTATAATAGTGTTCTAGATAATGATCCACATTTTTCAATGTAGGTATAGTGATTAAAGGGACCGTTTCAGACACAACATTATTTTCAGTTGTGATGTGTTTTGCAGCATCATTTTTGGAAGACATTTGATATTTTTTTCACTATATATATATTTCTATTAAAAAAAATTATTCATACATTGTTTAACATATTTATTTGCGTGTGGTAGCTTACTATGCCAATTTGCTGGATTTCTACTCAATTCAATTGAACTTTGTGACTATATGGAAATACACTACAAAGAAATAGGTTTGGGCTACTTCTCTAGTGCATAAAAATTAAGACAAAGACAGGAGGACACGTGCTAGTGGGATGACAGACAGTAAGTATACACACAGTAAGTACAAAAACAATAAATAGACAAATACAGAATAAACTACACACACAGAAGTGCACTAGTGTGTAGGGGCTGGGCCTACATTATTGTGATAAATTATGCCACAGTATGGATGGATATCATCAGTACCTTAAATACTTTCCAACTGCATGTTTCATTATAAAGAGAGCTTAATTAGTCTTGTTGAGTTGGATTTAGTGCAGCACCGTGTGCATATTTTAAAACGTGGCACTATTTTGTCTTTTCCAACTTAAGTCAGAAGAAATACATATCATGACGTATCATGAAAACTAAGTGGTGTGATATTACATTTCTGGCATATCGCCAGCTCTAGTCCATTGTGTAAATCATACTCAGTAAACTGTTCAGTAAGCGTTCAGTCCAAGTATATGAGAAGTCAGTCAGCAGTAGCATGGAGAAAGTTTGGAATTAAAGTGCAGTCTGCACATAGTTTGATTAGTGTTTGCATTCATGATCTGGTGGATGCTGTGGGTGACCAGTTTAGCAGCTCGAGGGTAGAAACTGCTCTTGAAGCTGGTGGTTTTGGCTCAAATGTTGATGATAATGTCTGATGTCTCTTTCCAGATGGCATCAGGCAGAACAGGAACTGGCTGGTGTGTTTGGGGTCTGAGGTGATACTGCTGGCTTTCCTGAGAAATCGTGTAGATTACATTAAGATTAGTGTTACTGACCCTTATTAGTCCCACAATGGGGAAATTTCCCCTCTGCAATCTAAACCATCCGTGCAGTTAAACACCACATACACACTAGTGAACACACACTAGGGGGCAGTGAGCACACTTGTCCGGAGTGGTGGGCAGCCCTATCCACGGTGCCCGGGGAGCAGCTGGGGGTTATGGGCCTTGCTCAGGGGCACCACAGTCATCTGGTTTCCTAACCTCCAGCCCACGACTGCCCCATTACATTGTGAATGTCCTGTATGGGTAGGAGGACAGCTGCAGCGATGGACTAGGTGTTTTTTTAACCACCCTTTGCAGGGCCTTACGTTCGGTAGCAGCAGAGCTGCCATACCAGTCTGTGGCGCAGCTGGTCACAATGCTCTCCACTGTGGACCTATAGAGATTGCGGAGGAGCTAATGTGGCAGGTCGACTCTCCTCAGCCTCCTGAGGAAAGGAAGGCATTGTTGGGCCTTTTTGATAAGGTTTGATGTTGATTGACTAGGTGAGGTCCTTGGCTCAGAAGAATTTTAAGCAGTTCAGGGAGAGATTGTTGTCAGATTGTTGAGTGTGCAGGGTGTAGAGCATGGGTGATAAGAGACAGTCTGGTGGAAATCCTGTGCTGGGAGCAAGGGGGGGGAGAAGTGTAGCCACCCATTCTAAAAGAATGAGGCCTGCTAGTAAGGAAATCCAGAATCCAGCTGCAGACTGTGTGACTGATTCCTGGGATCTTGAGCTTGAAGACCAGTCTAGAGGGGATAAATGTGTTAAATGCTGAACTGAAATCAATGAACAGCCTTCGTAGGTGGGTGTTCTTGCCCTCCAGATGGTTCTATGCAGTGTGCATTGACAGGGATATCACATCTCCAGTGGATCTGTGAATGCCGTAAGTGAACGGATAAGAATCCGGAGTTCTGGAGGAGGCAGTTCTTAAGAAAAGTCAGGACCAGTCTTTCACAGCGCTTCGTAATGATGGGTGTGAGTGCAATTGGATGATGTTGGTCATTGAGCCTTGACGTATTTTTTTCCAGCTTTTTTTTCTTAGGTTTTTGGGAAGTGCTTTTAGCTTGATAAAGGAAAAAAAAATCTTGTACATAAAAGTACTGAACACCATCAAGTCTGCTACATTTGCTTTTGTTAAAAGGTACTTTAGTGGTCTTGGAGCAACTGCATCTAGGTATTAAATGCTCTCTGTAGGCGTTAAAAGCCAGGATTTAAAACCAAAAAGTGCAACCGTGGCTAACGACGAAGGCTAATGGGAAGCAATTACAGTCAGCCTAATGCTGACTGGCTTCCCACGCCTTTCATTTATTATACGTGACTGTCAATTTTGTGGGTCCTGCTTGTTCATATGTCAATTACTGCAAGTACGCTTTAAATCAATACCTTTTTAAATAGACCATTGATATTAAAGAGCACATTTGGTGATAAATGCAGTATAAATTCAGTCACTGAGTCATTCAGAGTAAATGTTTAATAGGTACATGTTTCATTTCATATAATCACTCATACAGTTCACAGTATTTTCTTTCATTGATATTTATGTGGATAAAGATTAAATCAGCTTCATTCATCCAGAAAATCAGCAACAGAGAAAAGCTTCTTGTAACAAATCGATTACAAAACTACTCTTATAGTTAAAGCAGTTTCTTCAAGCTATTTAAAACAAGCCGTTTGTGTATTTCAGGTTGGGATGCTTCAGTGTGTGCTGAATCTGGTGTTGTCTCTGGTCTCAGTGGTTTTAATGAGTATTTTGGGGGATGGAGAACTCATCTGCTGGTAGCCGTTCATTCCTTTGGAGTCTGAGTTAAAAACAGTGACATTAAGTTTTGAACTACATCCCTAAAATGGCCTTCATGCATTCATTTATCATATACAACGATGAAATGCGCAATATAAAAACACTTGATCTGTGTCCTATACATACTGATTAAACTCCTGTAGAATAGTCCTAGTGCAACTTTATTATTAAACCTTCACACTGTATGTTTGGCTTGATACTCACTGTAATTGGGCATTGATTGGATGTTGATAATGGCCTGCTGTCCAAGTCTACAAAAAAATAATTCATTAACTGTATTGTTTAAAAAATATAAACATAAAAACACGATGACAAATCACATCTGTGGTTATAACATTAAAACACAGCCAACTGAATATTTACACATACACTATGTCCAAAAGTTTGTAGCATTTCTTCTGAAATCAAGATTGACTGTGTTAAACTGTTTTTCTACCTTTTTACCTAGAAGACTATTAAAATACTTTTGTCAGATAAGCATCTAAGTCTCTGTGGTGTGCCACCAGGCTCTGTACTTGGCCCACTTTTATTTTCTTAATAAGGAGTTTGTCCTCCTTTGCTGCAGTAACAGCCTCTAGTCCTCTGGGACGTCTTTACACTAGATGTTGGAATGTTGCTGTGAGTATTTGATTGCATTCAAAGCACACTAGCTTTAAGTACTGACGTTGAATGACTAGTTCTAGATTAAAAATACCACTCCAACTCATCCCAAAGGTATTGGATGGAGCTCCTTCTGCTCCACTGCTCCACAGCCCAATGCTGGGGTCTTTATACCCCTCTAGTCGATGGTTGGCTTTGGGCATGGTGACCTTAGGCTCAGTGGTTGCACCTTACAGTAGCTGTATTCACTAAATAGAAGGGGTCTCTACAAACCTTTGGACATATAGTTTCTATCAGCGTCCAAGGTTGGGCTTGACTGTAATTCTTACCTGTCCTCCTCGCCTTCCAGCAGCTTCCTGTAGGTGGCGATCTCAATGTCCAGTGCCAGTTTGACATTCATGAGCTCCTGGTACTCGCGGAGCTGGCGGGCCATGTCCTGCTTGGCTCTCTGCAGGGCCTCCTCCAGGTCCCGGATCCGAGCTTTAGCCTCCTTCACAGCCAGCTCTCCACGGCCCTCTGCTTCTGCAATCTGGTTCTCTAGGTTAGCGCGCTGTGAACAGGAGGGAGGTGAGCGAGGACATTGGCACAATCAGCATCTACAGCATAGGAAACTGAAGTTTATTATAGATTGTTCTTTTCTGTTTGGGGATTCTCTTTGGTCTTTTTATCTTTGGTATAAAATAAACTGATAAAGCTGAAAAGTCTGAGGTGTAGCCATCGTCTGTGAAGTGCTATAGATCATAGAATGCCTCGTAATCAGCTTAAGAACTTAGTTCATTATTCTCTGATTGTGTTAAACTGTTTTTCTGCATATTTATGAAAATATTTTTTTAATGTAAGTGAACATGTCTCAGATAAACATGTTTATTCTCTGTGGTGTACCACAAAACTCTATACTTGGCCCACTTTCATTTTCTTTGCATATGGGTCAAATTATTTAGAAGCTTGAGGTTAATTTTCAGAGTTATGCAGAAGCTGTCCATATCTATAGGGCTAGATGATGTCACTACTCTAAATAAGGTGGTAACCTGTCTGTCCAGAAATATTAGCTGGATGAATAGCAATTTTTTGAAAATTGTGAAGACCTTGAAATCTGGCTCTACAGACAAAAGCCAAAGTTAGAAATCTTGGTGTAATTCTGAACTCTGATTAACTCTTAACCACACATAACATTACTAAAACTGGACCTGATAAACTGAATCAGCATTAGATCAGGGTTGAGCTGAACTTTGCAGGATAGTAGACCTCCTGGACTGTAATTGGGCACCCCTGTGCTAGACCATGTAGACCCATGTTGGCCCTCCAAGAGTTGATTCAGACATCTCTGATGTAGTGATATTGAAGCAAACTGCTCTAACACACTCAGCAGCTAATTATCAAACCCTTGATGAGTTGAATTGAACTTGTTAGAGCAGGGGAAGCTTTAAACTCTTCAGTTCTGTGTGGCTCCTAGTTTGGACAGCGCTGCTCTAAAGTGGTGGTGACCAACTCTGCCCTGCACTGAGGAGAACTACCTCCCTGCAGAGTTTAGCTCTGAAGAAAAAGGTCCTGCTAATGACTGAATCTAGATGTCCTTGATGAAGTATGTTACATTTGACTTGGAGGTGAAACCGAAAGGACAGCAGATCTCCAGGCGCAAGGTTGATAACCACTGCCTCAAAAGAAGGTCCTCGTACTTAGGTTTTGGAGAGTGTGGTGTTATTTACCTGAGCCTTGACAGCCTCAATCTCACTCTGCAGGCGGCTGATCATGCGGTTGAGCTCTGCAATCTCTCCCTTGGAGTTCCTCAGCTCATCTCCATACTGTGAGGCCTGGCTGGCCATCTGGTCAAACTTGAGAAGTGATATGACACGTTATAAACAGTCCATGTTTATGTAGTCCATGTAGTGTCCTAATAATGTGCTGAAGAGTGTCATCTAAAAAGGGTTTTTCAATGACTTTGAGCATAATTCAACTGTTATGATGTAAACAGTAATTCAGAGTGTTTTTAAATGGTCCATATTTTTATTTACAATTCAAAATGAACAGTAAACTTACACAAGTCTTCTTAGTTTTTTACATGTAATGTTGATAATGGTAATGGTAAGTTTTCTTTGGGGACTATTTTGCTTGCATGTACCTCTCCACTATGTATTTTTTAAAAATACATTTTATGCTAAAACCTTCTCTCCCAACTATTGTAAAACAATGACCCGGACATCAGGTGGCCATGTAACCATATTATGTAACTTTCTGTGACGAAGATTTTAGATGCATTAAATCTTCAAGCATCTAATTCCGATCACCACCAATTTAATTTCACACCAAACCACCTCTGAATGACTTTTAAAAGTTTAGAAAAATGGTGGAATTTCCCTCTTAAACCAGTTCACTCAGAAAATTTTTTTCTTTACCCATTTTTAAAGCCATTAAAAAGTCCACATAAGGTAGTTTATAAGCCCGATGAGCTACACTAAGATGTCTAATTAGTGACACTATTGTTTTTCCGATGGTATGTTGTTATTCTTCTTCTTCATGTTTTTCATATTTTTTTGTCCGCTAATTTCGGTCTGATCAGGAATGGTGTGCTTGTATATAGTTTTTGATCAGACACGTTTTTCTGCAATTATCATTAAATGACAATTTTTTTCCCATAGGAATGAATGGGATACAAAGGGTTGTGAACCCAATTTATGTCATGTTGATACAAGTCCATTGATTGCTGCGCAATCACTCTGCATTTTCATCAGGAAATGCACTTTTCTAGTCTTCAGTGTGACGTCCTACATTCAAATTAATACACTGATGCTGTACAGTATGTTGTTTTTTCCACCAACTCTGGAACTGTCCATACCTTAGACTTGTACCAAGACTCGGCCTCCTCACGGCTCTTGGCTGCAATGTCCTCATACTGGGCCTTAACTTCAGCCACGATCTGGTCCATGTTAAGGTTGCGAGAGTTGTCCATTTGGACGATGACCGAGGTGTCCTTGATACTGGCCTGCATCTCACGCAGCTCCTGCACCAGCAAGTAAGAAATTTCATCACTACTGTCCCCACCTACAGTCTTATGTAAACCTTTGGGCACCCCTGGTCAAATGACATGCTTTGTTAATATGTTAACGGGCCAATATCCTGGAAACTTAAAATAAATGAGTTTGATGCTGTATGTAAACTTTGTTAAAGTTTCAAAATGTAACGTTCACTTCTCAGTTCATATAAGCTGCCAAAACAGCCTGTTTTGAGAGTATTGTTTTTGTGGTCACAAAAACCAACAGATTTACATATGTTAGTCTATTCAGCCTCTATCCATCTATTCACACTAGTAACATGTTTCAGACTGCTACTGAATGAGAATACAGGAGAACCAACCAGAGCAGAGCTCATTTACATATATCAGTGTTAAAGGCACAGTAACAAAAGCAGCCTGTTTAATTCTAAGAGATTAAGGAAGGATGGAAAATGGTCCTGTAGAAATGATTTATGGGTTTTTAAAATCTAAATCACAAACATCATAAGTGCAGCTCAGGGCAAAAAATAAAATGAAGAATTTGGGATACTGGGCCCAAAAGAGTAGAAATTGTACAGTAAAATGTGCAGAGCAATGCCATAAGTTTGTTCCCTGCAGAGGATGTGTTAACTTAGTTTCACAAAATCAACAAAACATATTATTTGTTCAGGAGTGTTCAAACTTTTGCATATGACTACATCTCTAGTTGTTTGAATTGTTCTCTTACATCAGGCCATCTGTCATCTCAAAGCACTTCTTATCATAAATAGACCAAAATAGTGGGCTCCTCTGCAATGCAGTATTGGAGATTTCCTTATCATTCCATTTTTATGCCAGCTTTTTGGCAGATGGCACTCTGACTTGGCTGTAACTGTCATAATATTGACCTTTCCTCTGTATGTGTAGAAGGTGTGGTGTTACCTCATCATAAATGCTCCTGAGGAAATTGATCTCATCAGTCAAAGCTCCAACTTTGTCCTCCAGGTCAGCCTTCACCAGGTATGCAGAGTCCACATCCTAAAGCACAGGGGATGATAGTATAGAGCTTCAGTGTTACAATACAAGTCTCAATCTCAGTCCTGCTTTTGAAGTCAACGTAAATCAGAAATCATGTACTGTGTTTTAAAGTGTGGAATCAATAGTTATTCAGCTATAAATCATACAAAGATTGAAGATAGATTGAAATGACTGAAATTTTATAAACTTGACACCAAATCGTAAACTGATTGTTTATTCAGAGCATTCGGGAACAATAAAAAGTAATGGTAAATAATATAAAATAAAATGATAAACATATAGTTATAGTTATTTCTTGACATAAAATAACTATGAATCAGCAAGATTTGGTCAACACTTTTTGAATATGAGGCATACTGAATATTAATATTATTATAAGTTTATTCTGGATGCTGCTGTACAGCTTTCTCAATTAATATGGAATCATCTACAGCTCCATTCATCATCAAAAATGTCTTCATTTTACATTTTCCTACGAACCTATAGAGTATTAGCATCATATTAGAGTCATTTTATACATATGTCTGCAACATTTGCAAGTTTAGTTTTATATAATTGAAATAATATAATTAAATCCAAGCTTTTGAACAGTAGTGTATCTTTGGTAACAGAAGTGACAGTATGAAAATTAAAAATATTACATTGTCATTTAATAATAACTATGTTTTAAGGTTATTTCTGTGGAAGAACTTCACTGCATTGTTGCCTGAGGTGATGTTGGGTTTTACAGTCGTTTCTGTGTGTTTGCAGCTCTACCTCCACCCAGACTTTTGTTAGGAGAGATATAATACTCATATGTTCAGCTTTTACAGCTATCATCTAATAAAAGGTGGGGCACTTTTACTGTGTTCAGTCCCTCTATTGTTGACTCTCCTGGTACCCTTTTAGGTGAAGCAGATTATGTGGTTTACTCTTCTCCCTTGTCGCCTAATTTAGCCATTCTCCCAAGCTCCCAACATGGTGAGATCACACCTACAATGTTCAAAAGCCCCCATTGTCCTTATTTAGTGCCTCTGAGGACATCAGCGGATCAAACCTTTTTCAGAATCACAAAGTCGTTCTCTAGGTTGTTCCTCTTGTTGATCTCATCCTCATATCTGGGTCAAAGAGAACAAAAAAAACAGGAGGGATCATTGAAAATGCTAGCTGTATTGCTACTTTGCTAGAAGCAAACATCTAACATTTTATTGTAAATTATTCAAAGATGTTAAAAAACACATTTCTAGATCTGTGGGGGTTCTGTCCAGAAAGCCTCTAAGACATCAAATATCAAAGGCAAACTTCATCAAAAGACTCCGCATGAAATCTAGTAGAGACTAGCTAGCATGATCTCATTTGTGTATGCTAGCTGGCATCCAGGATTTTGTGCTTATGTGCCTTTGTATTGTGCTAAAACTAGCTCAACCTACACATATTGGTAGCACTATACTGATGCAGTTTTATCTTTAGGGAACCATACTTGTGCTTGAAGTCCTCCACCAGCCCCTGCATGTTCCTCAACTCGCCATCCAGCTTGATTTTGTCATTGTTGACCACGTCAAGCTGTCTGCGCAGGTTAGCCATATAGGCCTCAAACATGGGCTCGATGTTAGACCTGCCTGGGCTCTGGCTGTGCAGCAGGTCAAACTTAGTCTCCAGCATCTTGTTCTGCTGCTCCAGGAACCTCACCTGTAGAGGATATGAGGAGGGAAAATGAATCAGACCTGAAGAATTCAACTTTCTGTGTCTAGATTTAAGTTATGTTCATGTTCACATTTTAGAATGTTATTGTGGAGTAGAACATTTAGCATATTGAATAGGAAGGCATTGAATATATGTTAACAATTTACATTTATGCACTTATCCAGCATGACTTATGGTTTAATTGTGTTACAGATGTAGACGAATTTAGCATTTGGACTCTTGCCCAAGGACCCTTATTGGTTAGTATAGTGTGCTTGCTTGGGGACCTCGAACCCCAATCTGCCACATGAAGGGCAGCAGTATTACCCACTACGCTACACCAGCTGCTTTAATTAAATGATATTTAATTTTGAAATGACTAGCCAAAAAAAGTATGCATAGTTTCCACTGTGTACAGGAAGGATATGTCCGCTCGCCTTTTCAAAAAACAGCTTTTGTTGCCTCCCAGCAACAAATTTGGCTAGATAGTTCTAAATATGGTGCCCAATTGGTGCACAATAGACAATAGAAATATAATTATAAAATAGGTTGCTGATCGATGGACTACACCACTTATACATGGATCCAAATTTGTGGCATTCCCTACCATTCTGACACCAAAACCTGCAATAAATGCTCCCATTTTTTTCTTCATTTTTGCTGCTGAAACAGATTTAGTGTCTCCCCTGAAGCCAGTTATTATCAAAGGTGTCACTTCTAGACTGTTAGATAGATAAGACTGGGTGTGGTGCCCAGCAGGCCCATAGGTTCCCATTCCCCATTAACTCATATTTTATAGAGAACATCCTCTTGTTCAGGCTGTAAATGTGAATCCCCTGTGGTATTTGTCTGCTATCAAGAACGTGGACGTGGCATCTCAGTTCAGAGCTTGACTCTGTGGAATTTGGGGATTTAAGAGGATAATTGTTAGTCCTTTGGTGTACTGGTCCACTGCACATGTTAAAAGCTAGTGTGCTTCAGCTGATGGCCATTGTGCCAGGCTAGTGACACTAATAGAGCAACCCTACCTCACCATTACTTGCGCTGCAGCACTCGAGGGACAAGCCATTGACCTAGATCAGCTACCTCTCTGCAAAGCTAATCTCAGTCCCTTTAAAGACTGATCTGTGACCGGTAGTCACAGATCCCCCCTTTTGCCCTAACCTGGAACAGTAAAAGTCTCTGTTTCAGTCCCAGGGGGCCCTGGGATTGGGTTGCCATTGTACCCGAGTGCACAAAAGCCCTCTTCATACTCCCTGAGATAGTGGTGTCTTGGGTGACTTGGACAAGTCTGACCTGGTTTTCATCAGGTTACAGCCCAGCTTTAGAGAAATGGGCCACAGTGCTAAAGCTCAACTATCGTTTTTCATGCACTTCTACCTGCATCAAGCAAATCCCTCTTGCCTGAAAGCACTCCAGGCAGTCTAGAATTAAATCCCTTTTTAAAAGGGGCAGGGTCGATAACTTCACTCCAACTTTGGCTTGTTTTCAAGTGAGAGCCACGAGATGTGGTACAATAGCTGCCTTTGTGGAAGAGCCCTTTATATCGAGTTGTTTTCTGTGCAATATGAAGGCAGCAATCAAGGTTAATGCACCTTGCTGACCTCACCAAAGGAAACTTCGGAAGCTAGTCCAAATTCCACAAAATATTTCCCCTCTGAAACCCCCGTCTTGCCACCTTATCTCTTGGTGCAAGAACCCAAGAAGACGTACCTTGTCAATAAAGGAGGCAAAGCGGTTGTTCAAGGACTTCATCTGCTCCTTCTCCTGGGTGCGCACCATCTGGATGTTGGGGTCGATCTCCAGGTTGAGGGGGGCTAGTAAGCTCTTGTTGACCGATACACTGCCTATGGGAGCGCCCAGGTAGGTGCTGCTGGTGCTGAAGCCGGGCGACGAGGCTCCCAGAGACATCCCACTGAAGCCCCCACTGTAGCCAAAGCCCCCAAGTTTTCCGCTGCTCCGCACGGAACTGCTGGAACTGATGCGCTTGTTCCTCAGACTCATGGCTCAAGGCTCAAGGCTCAGGCAGGTGAGATGGAGAACGAAGGAATAGAGGATGGTGACCAGGTTGAGGATGCTATGGGAGATTATGGAGCAGCAAGCCTGACCTGAGTGGGAACGTGGCCTTTTAAGTCCCAGTCAGGATTGGGTGGAGTGTCTCTGATGTGGGAAAACCTGTTCCAGAAGACACACAAACACGCACACACATTCGGGCTGTCCGCTCTCTATGGGTCTGTTGTCTCGGAGAGCCACACTCAGTTCCGCTCCACATCCGCCCACTTGCATTACACACCCCTCCCATCTCTCTGTCTTTCATTCCTCCCCACTCTGTCCACCTCTCTCCAACTTCTAAAGGAACTGAGGATGGAAGAATCTCACAGTAAGGAAGATGTCGTACAAGTAGTGCCTTTTCAGAAAAGTCTTGCATTATGAAGAAGAAAATTAAATGTAAGTGGATTAAAAGAGAGTTCTTCCAGTTTTTCTAAATACATATTGCATAATTAAATCATTAAGATGTAAGTAAGGTCATTCACAGTGGTTTTGTGTGAAATGCTTTGTCCTAGAACAAGGTGTACAACTCTGGTTCTGAAAGGCCGGCGTCCAGCACAGCTTGAAGGTTTCCCTACTCAAACATGCCCACTAAACCTGGCAATTAACAGATAAGTGCAATCAGGTGTGTTTGAGTAGGTAAATCACCAAAGACTTCCAGGACCAGAGTTGTGCACCCTTGTCCCAGAGAAACAGAGTTCACAGTGGTGATATGAACCAGGCGTCTAAAAAGTTTAATGATTGTAAAAGCTCCCTCACAGAAAGTTATTAAATGAAATGGTTGTGAATACACTGTCTGATGCATGAGACATTGTTTTGGTTATTGATAGTTTTGAGAAGGTTTCGGCATAAAAGTGTTCTTTTTAAACATACATTAATGGTAGAGAGATGCATGCAGGGTGTATTAAGGCAAAATACACTATATGGACAGATGTATTGGGACTCCCTTCCTAATTATTGAGTTCAGGTGTTTCAGGCGCACCCATTGCTAGCAGGTGGATAAAATTAAGCACACAGCCTTGCAGTCTCAAAAGACAAAGACTGACAGCAGAATGGGTCATACTGATGAGCTCAGTGACTTTAAACTTTAAACATGGCACTGTCATAGGATACCACCTCTGCCACACATTGGTTTGTAGACCTTCTGCCCTGCTAGATCTGCCCCTGTCAACTGTAGTGTAAAGCTTGACGCCACTGGACTCTGGAGCAGTGGAAATGTATTCTGTGGAGTGACGAATCACGCTTCACTATGTGGCAGTCTGATGGATGAGCCTGGGTTTGGCGAATGCCAGGAGAACGTTACCTGCCTGACTGCATTGTACCAACTGTAAAGTTTGGTGGAGGAGGGATAATGCTATGGGGTTGTTTTTCAGGTGCTGGCCTGGGCTCCTTAGTTCCAGTGAAGGGAAATCTTAATGCTTCAGCATATCAAGACATTTTGGATAATTCTAAACTTCCATCTTTGTGGCAACAGTTTGGATAAAGCCCTTTTCTGTTCCAGCATGACAGAGCCCCAGTGCACACAGCAAGGTCCATAAAGGCATGGCTGGGTGAGTTTGGTGTGGAAGAACTGGCCCTCACAGAGTCCTGACCTCAACCCCATCAAACACCTTTTGGATGAACTAGAACGGAGATTGTGAGCCAGACCCTCTCGCCCAACATCAGTGTCTGACCTCACATTCCTCTTCTGGAAGAATGGGCAAAAATTTCCAGAGCTCCATCTCTATTGGCTGATCTGCACCGTTTTGACCACCATGGAGTTTCATGCTGTACAACGCTGTGCAAACCTCACCTGCATAAACTGACCCTTCTGATGCTGCCGCTGCTCCTGTTGCATAAACTCAAACTATCTAATTAACCATTGCTCCACCTGTTTTTCCCAGTTTTGTATTCTAATATTTTATACTGATGCTGTTTGCTATCTGGTGTCAACCAGAGGAGGATGGGTTCCCCTTTTGAGTCTTGGTTCCTCTCAAGGTTTCTTCCTCTTGCTACTTAGAGAGTTTTTCCTTGCCACTGTCGCCATTTGCGACGCTCATGGGGCTTGGACCCGGATGTTTCTGTAAAGCTGCTTTGTGACAACACCTGTTGTAAAAAGCGCTATATAAATAAACTGTGACTTGACTTGACTTGAGTATTGTTGATACTGTGGTGGTGCCACAGGGCACGCTGCCTCTAATGAGCGTAGATTTGCTAAGCAAAATTCCATTTGAAGTGGCTCATGGGACACATGCCCCCAGTGAAAAGGGACTGTCTGTGTTGTTGTTTCATGTTGTACGCTGTTTTTCTTTGGTTAAAGTGTGTTTATGTGTTTATTAATATTCCTGTGTTGGGTTTGCAGGCTAGTTGGAGTGGGTTCCTGTTAGTAACAGTAAGAGAGAGAGTGGGGCTGTTGCTTTTTTTTTTAGCGGCCTTTCTTCCTTGTTCATTTAATAAAGAACACTCAGGCAGAAATTACAGCCTCATCTGACTCTTTTTCTCGTCGACACCGCAATATTTTAATGAGATTGTGCTGCCACATTTACATCATGGTAACATGAGAGAACATGTGAACAGTGGGATGACCCGATGACCCCAGAAGATAATAAATAACTAATTAATTGTTTAGAAGAGGATGTAGTCTGGTTACTCATAGTTTATGTATGTATAGTTTTCATAATTCATTAGCTGTGTGTTAAGATTATTAAACTAAATAATTCTTAACAAAACATTAATGAGATTTCTAAAATGAAAATACACTATTGATTAAATTAAATTGCTAAATTAAACAAAAATGGATATACAATGGTTAAACAAGGAAGAAATACATTTTTCACTATTGTTCATTAGGTAAATAAAGAGATTTCTGTATGGTATGTAACTCGGTCTAATTAAAAACTTTTGTCTCTGTAGTTTCTTGTAACCAAGAATAAAATGCACATTTTAATTAACTTCTCCAAGATAATGTTTAAAATATTCATCTTCATTAAAAAAAATAAAAAGAGTAAATAAATAATAAACAATTTATGTACTCATTGAACTTTGAAAACAATAGGAATTAATTGTGTTAAGTTTCATTGTAGATTGTGTACCGATGAAGAAAATTTTCTTTGGACTTAATCACCAAATGTACGTTTGGAGGGGTAAAAGGAGCAGCATTTGATGAAAAGAACACCTTGCCAACTGTTAAGCATTGGAGTGGTTCCAAGGTGCGAAATACAGCTTCTCCTGGGGAGTTCAGAAGCCCCTAATTAACCTCTTGGACCTGAATGTCTCAAAATCAAAATTCCTGGGGGTCCCTGAAAATAAACTTATTATTAGATTTTGTTGTCTGTTAGGGTAAAACAGATGCTCATATACAAATTCAGGCAATGGTTATTGTTTAGCTGCTTCACGCACAATTGGTGAGCTTCTGTCTTCAATGTTCTTATCTAATATGCAATACCAGATTGCCTCAGGGTGGTGCTGTAGCAAATTGGTTCTCTCAGTTGGTCCTTTTGGTCTCTCATAGCCTATCAATTGTAAGTATGCCCCGGATACCACTGTAAAACTTTACAGTCTGCCATAGCACATTTTTAAATATGAAAACTTGCCAGATTCGCCAAGAGTTTGATGAGAAGAGTTAATTGTTACTCATTTCTCAAAATGAAGACAAAAGAGATGTGTAAGATTTCAATTTATGTCTGGAATAATTGTTAAACCAAACATCAGCGCTACTGTGGCGAGCGAATCAGCAGCCAGCCAATGCTGGAGTAGCCAGCTAACATGGACTGTGAAAGATTACATATATTACTAGCTTGGCTTCATTGCCGTTGTTCAGCTACATTAAAGCTAACACAGGCATGAGATGTGGCGTTCTCTGGAGTGATGGAGCTCCATCCAGTACTTTTGAGATCCAGAACTGATCATCCAACATCAGTATCAGAAGATTAGAGGCTGTTAGTGCAGCAAAGTAGGACAAACTCTCTATTAATACCCTGCATTTCTGTTAAAAGGTTGGATGCTGCTCTGCTCTCGGTCACGTTAACATCTAAAAACAGACTCTCAGACTAGTGAGAGAGTGCCCCCTTGTGGTCACATCTAGATATTTTACCATTAATTACCCTATTCAAAAATATGGTTCTTCCACGGTTCTTTATTCCTTGTGTGGTGTTCGGATTTGTGGGACCCATTTTCAATGTTTACAGAAAGAAAAAATGATGCAATTTATTATTATTTCAACCTCAGATTGCTTGGCCTTTGGTCACTGTCTGTGAAGAACATATAACACATTCTCAGTGCCTTCACACTGTTCACCCCCTACACATTTATATTACACACGTGGTGTTGGGTGAACCCGTGGGGAATAAAAGCGTGGAGGTGCTGTGTCCCTTCGCTCTGTTCTCCTCCTACATGGCCTGCTGTTAGTGTGTGTGTGTCTGTGTGTTTATGTGTTTGTATATGTGTGCGTGTGTGAGGGTGGACAACATGGATAGGCTGCTGACTGGCTACAGCTGCTAAAGGAGAACCCTACGCTGGACACTTGTGATATTTTAAACATCTGGTATTTTTACATAAATTTGTTATGGTTGATTAAAAAAAAACCATAACGCATAACAAAACAATAAAATAATGAGTAACAAAAACATGAGCACCACACAAGGGTTAATAAAGAAAATGTATCTATATAGAACCACGAACACTCGAACCATTTGCATGCTTAAATTGTTCTTTGCATCATTAAGTGGATTGATGGAGAATGTGTTGTATACGGTTCTACATAGCACCAAACAGGGGTCTTCTATTGTTACATGCTTGACTTTGAACCTTTTGTGGTGATACCCAGAACAATTTTCAAAAGGCTTCTATATAGAACCATATACAGCTCAGTCTGATGAACAATTTCATCACGCAAAGAACAATTTTAACACGAATGTCACTAAATAGAACTTATGGTTCTAAATATAATCATTCCTTTTACTAAAGAATCTTTGAAG